TAGCCTTTGTTGCTTAGTTCCAGCTCGCATACTCGTACATTCAATGTACTGATGCCAGTTGGCCTGCATCGTCTTATGATGCAGATACAGTTACCCCGGATCAGCATCCTGCACGTCGTTGATCCAGCTGAGCACTCCAGAGTCTGTGGTGAGCCTCCTTGCATTCCGGAGGACTCAATTATTTTGTGTACTTAGTTTTGTTCTATTAGGATGTTGCGGGGTCTGTCCCAACATCCATCTCAGTATTGTAGAGGCTTCATAGACAGTCAGTCAGTTAGTATTGAGTCTCTCATCTATGTATTTATGTAAATATTCTATTTTGAGACTCGAGTTGCCCTTTGGGCCATATTCTTATTAGTTAAGTTGTTTATGTCTTTGCATGGCATTGAGTTATTCTGTTGAGTCAGGTTTCCGCTGAGTTAAGAAAGCCAGGCCAAGGGTTCGCTTGGGGCCAGCAATGGTCTCCGAGTGCCGGTCCCGCCCAGGGTGTAGGCTCGGGGCGTGACAATAAGGTGGAGGGTATTTTTGTAAACAAACAACTTATTATTAAACATTATGTAATGGATATAAGTTTGAATATGACAAACCAAACAAGCAATAAAAATTAATTTCAGCATAACTAATCCAATATAACTTATCCAATCATAACTAATCCCAAGATAACTTGTATTCAAACCAAACTACCCCTAAATATTTTCATAAATTAAGCAAGTGTTTTATAACCTAAACTTCAATATTCTTCTATTATAAAAATAAAATTTAAAATATTTTTTAATTGTTGCAAATTTATAATTTTTGGTTATTTTGTTTGAACTTTTTCATAAAACCCCCTCTAGCCAGGTAAGATGAAATAATGATTTGAAATCATAATATGAGAAGAAATTGAAGTTTTATTTAGACAAAGTAATTTAAATTATATTTTTTTTACTCATAAACATAAAAATTACTCAAATTGTAAAAACTATCAAAATTATTGAAGTAGGTAACAAAAGTATCTCACAAATGTATTCTATAATTTAATAGAAAAAAGTTGCATTGCGGTAGGAAGGCGACCAGTCGCCACCCGTCAAACTACCTTTCTTTCCCGGGGAATATCATTAGTAAGCCAATCCAAACACTCTTAAAATGTATTTTCCTTTTTAAGAAGAGTCTAGTGTAGTTTGCAACTGAACAGTCTCTCCGAGCAACTGATCGTACTGAGCCATGTCTTACATTCCACCACACAAGAGGCATAACAAAGGTTCGCCGTCGTCGGAACCAACTCCGGCACCGGAATCACTGATACCTGCCTTCAGAAAAAACCTGAATTTCAAGAGAAAGGATAAGTTTCTGTTCGAGATCCGCTGTGCTCATGGTGCGGTTAGGAAATGGTTCCCTGTTGGTTTGACTGATGATTCTCACTTTTCATCTCTTGTGAAGCTCCAACCTCTTTCTATCGACCGAAAATCTGACGAAAATCCTCTTCGTTTGGTCCTAATGCAAGGTACTACTACTTTTTTGTTCTTTTTCTGCAAAATCTGAATTTACATGTGTTGTTTTGTTTGCTTATAATGTATTTGATAAGTGCTTCTGATTTTCTAGAAATTGGTAAATCAGGGTTTCAAACAATGTAAAATCCTTTATCTGTTTCTGAGATCTCAATTCTGTAATATATGTACTTTTTAAGTCGCAGTGAAGGAACAAATGAGCTTATGGATGAGCCATGGCGTTTGGTGGCTAAAAGTGTGATGGAGGACTTACTGTTGTCATTTCAACATGTGAAATGTGAAATGGAGGAAGCTAAGATGGAAGAATTAAAGCCGGGTCTAAGTTGCTCGTTTTGGAAGAATTATCTTTCATGGGTTAGTATTGTTCATTTCTCATATTAAGTCTCCAAGTTGTATGTATTACTTCAAGAAAATAATTAATCAACCAGCTATGCATCAATTCAAATCTAGTTGGAAGTCATTATATGAATTCTCTGTATATCAGCTGTATTCAAATCCATTTTAATATAGTACACAATTTTTTGTCTTGTAAGGCAAATTAGGACTAACTTATCTTACTTTGACATGTAACCTCTTAACTTTTCTCCTAGATGTTATACTGTTTCTTCTTTTGCGGTGCTGAAGCAGTACTTTGTTGAGTCGATTAAATCCAATGCATGTTTAACATGTAATCCTCCTCAAATATTCTGTGATGTAGGATTTCTGCAAATAGTCAAGAATCCCTGAAAAGTAACCCATTGGGTGAAACTAAGTTGAGCCAAATGAGAAAAGCTTTCTATACGAGCGTTCCTCTTTCATATATGGTATATATGCAAAACCTTGCACTTGAAAAACTTGGCTTAGAATATGTGGAGGAGAAGGAATTATACTATGTCAAGGTAATTTTTCATGTTTCTAACAAATTTCTTTCTCTTTATGCGTTGGTTCTTTTAGTGCTATCCCTTGTGCTTTGTAGCTTTCAGACAACATGTGAGCTGATTCAACTGTCACCTGCAAATGTACGGTGGTCATGGATCAGGAGAAAATTCATCTCCATAAGGTTAGTTCTCAGTTCCCAGGTTCTTAATGAACTTGTAAGATGCCCTTAACTGTTCATTTTCCAACTTTAGCAAAACAACATTAATTGTTGTCATGAACATATTTACCTCCTCTTACCTATCTTTTTGCATGCTTTACTATTTTGCACTTTGTCATTCCTTAACAATCTTCTGACACTATGCTTTTTCTTTTAGATTGAGCTGAACCTAGTGCAACATGGTTGCAGACATGAGCTGTCTTGGCAAAAGTTTAGACCTGAGGTTGATGTTAAATACCAAGAAAATCATGATGGGTTTATCTGTAAGTTACTTCATTGAGGATCAAATATCTTGAAAGTCATAGGTCGTATACTCATACTTTTAAGTTCCACCCAATATTTGATATTTTCTGAACTGGAAACATGTCCATTCAGTTACTCTTGGGTGAACTTTCTTGTTTTTTCATGTTTCATGGATTTGGGGGACGGTTCGATGTTTGTGAACAGCAAATTGAATAGCCTATTGGGCTGACCAGTAGGGTTAAAATGCTCAAATACTGCGCGTTATTGGAGTCCTCGAGTAACTGGATTGAGCTAGATATGAATCATTTCTACGATGAAATCCAAAGGAGGGTAAGTAGAAGAGAGAAAAAAGGAAAAGGATACAGAGGCAAAAAGTAGAAATGAAGATATTCTTCACACGCATTCAGTGTTAAGCTTAGACATGCAGATCAATTTGATTTCAGATCTTCAACTGGTGAGGTTGCACAGGAATCTAACCTGAAAATGTCTGGGATTTTATCCCAATTGCAGGTAGGTTTTCTTCTAATGAGCAATTATGTATATTTCTATTGGTAATACATTTGGGCAAAATATCATCCAGTTCAGCTGGAGCAACAAAATTTCATCACTGATTCCAATCCAGTTGATAAGCCTTTCTGTCTCTTCACTACTGAAATAATTAATTTAATTCATTTTCTTACCGAAAATGCAGGAGCAAACGATTGACGAAAACCTGGTGCTTAAAATGCTTGAAGACAACTTGAAGTTAATCTGGGATCACTGTTTGCATGATGGTTCTTCAAGCTGACCATATTTTATGGTCCTTCACTTTCTCTTTGCAAAATATCTGCAGAAACTGCTAGACTCACAAGCTATGTTCGGTTGGTGAAGAAAGTTACCTTTTGTAGTTTGCAGTGGTGGAATATATAGATGTAGATAACTGAATTTTTAAACTCAAAATGTTGAATGCTGTTTGCACTATATAGTTTTGTGTATGGAATGAAATGAACCAAGGCCTCTAATGTTAGTGGCATCAGTAAGGAACACTAGATAAGATTGTAAATAGTTCTGTTTTGTAAGGAACACTAGATAAGCCTTGCTTTGAATCTTTCAACACTGCCATTAGCTTTGTGTTTGATTTTGTACACCCATTTACAACCTATGGCAATGTTACTCGATTGCAGGAATTCGCAATGAATTCGAGGATCGACGCACTGTTTCATGATTTCTCGAGAAAACAGTTAGTAATGAAGAAGAACAAGAAGAAGAATAGAAAGAGAAAGAGAATTTTGTATATTCCATATCTGAATGTAACTGATGATTACAATGTCTATTTATAAAGAACTTGACTGATTTATTCCATCTAACAAAATCAGTTACAACTAACATCTAACTAACTACCACTACACTGATCATTGTAGCTTAACAGTGTTTAACTAACTTTGTCAACTAACTTTTGAATTCCCAAATTACTGTAACAGTATGTAGAGCATCAAATTCATGGGTCATGGCTGCTTGCCAAGCAGGGTTCATGGCAGCCTCCTCATAAGAGTTGGGCTCACTGTTATGTGAAAAACTTCTCAAAGACTGCTGATTGGCACAACTAAGGGCAGTGAAAGGAATATGGTTTCTATTGGCAAAAAGAGCATTCAAAATACTAGTGGGTTTGGCAGAAACTTTGTCTGTTAAGGTAGGCATTGGGCAGACATAGTCTTGGAGATATGAAGGTTTGGTATGGGTCCTGGTAGATCTTCTAGGTTCAGTTGTGATGTTGGGAGGAACAAGTTGGGTGAGGTGTGGGGTGGCATGAATAGGTGAGGTGGATGATGGTGTTGTAGTGGCAGGAGAATTATCACTTTGTGTAGTTGGTATAGAAGTTTCAGTACCGGTGAATGCATGTTTTGAGTGTGAGTAGGAACATATATAGTAGTAGTATCCCAATGAGATGGTAAGACAGACTGTGGTATACAGGAGGAAGGAAAAGAAGTGACAGGGAATGGAAAAACATGCTCATGGAAATGTACATCCCTAGACACATGTATCTTTTTAGTAGCTAGATTGAGAACCTTATAACCTTTTGTGTGAAAAGAGTACCCTACAAACACAGGTGTAGCTCTAGCTTCAAACTTATCTCTGTGAGATTTGAGAACTGTAGGATAGCATAAACAGCCAAAGGTTCTTAGGTGGGAATATGTGGGTTTTTTTTTCATAGAGTATCTCATAAGGGCATTTGTTTTTTAGAATGACAGAGGGTAGCCTGTTAATTAGGTAAGTGGCTGTGAGAAGACACTCTCCCCAGTATCGAAGAGGTAATTTGGATTGAAACATGAGGGATCTAGCCACTTCAAGGAGATATTTATGTTTTCTTTCCACCACACCATTTTGTTGTGGTGTGTATGGACAAGATTTTTGGTGAATAATGCCTTTAGACTGGTAGAAAGTAGAGGCTTCATTGCAAGTAAATTCCAGTCCATCGTCTGACCTTATGGCCTTTATGGTGACATGGAATTGGGTTTCTATTAGTTGGAAAAAGATTTGATGATTTGTAAGGTGTTGCTTTTGCAGTTTAACAGGTGTACCTAAGTTGACCTGCTATGGTCATCGACCATGGTCAAAAAATACTTGTAGTGGTCATGTGTTTCCACATGATAGGCCCCCATAGGTCTAAATGTAAAAGATCAAAAGGTTTACTGGAGATTGAGTTGCTGGTAGGAAAAGGTAGTCTGGTTTGCTTGGCCATGGGACAAATTGTGCAGATAAAAGGTTGTTTGGGAGCAAAACTCACAGGAATGCTAGATATACTTCTTATTTTCACAAATGGTACATGTCCCAATCTATTATGCCACAAGTAACCAATACAAGTATCAGAAAGAGGTGTACAAATTGAAGACGCATTTGATGAACCAACAACTTTATTGTGTGAGCATGAATTGTTTACAAGAGATGGGGAAATGGGAATGGGGTTGCTGGTTGTGCAACACGTATCTTTATTACTACTAGTAATCAGATCAACAGACCTTGTACAATCAGATATAGAATCAGAATGTTTACAATCAGATACAGAAGAAGGAATTTTGCAAGTAGATACAGAACAAGAAATACAGACATTATGAGACTCAACAGAATTTGAAGTAGAACTGGTGAATTGACACTTTGAGCAAAGGTAGTACAATCCATTCCTTGCTCTACCAATCTCCAGAGGCCTCTTCATTGAAGGGGCCTGCAACATGCACGAATAAGTAGAAAAATTAACAATGGAGTTGAGTTGAACTGTTAAGGAATGAATGGAGATGAGGTTATATTTGAAACTAGGGACAAATAGTACTTTGTTTAGAGTCAACTTTGGGCTCAAGATAGCATCACCAATCTCAGTTACTTTCACTTTATAACCATTAGGCAATGTGACTAAAAAGGATAAGGTAAAGGTCTAGTGTTGGTGAGGAGTTTTCCATCATAGGACATGTGATTTGAGGCACCAGAATCTAAAAGCCAATACTTAGCAGAAGAATTGAAGCATTTACACGACAAATTACTCATTATCTCTTTATAAGTAGAGCAAGCCAATATACCTGCAAAGTTTGCAGCCCCACCAAGATTGTTTGAGGACTCAGGATCATTTCCTAGTTGAAATTTTTCCAGCAGTTGCAATAGTTGGCTGTGTTGTTCCTTTGTCAGGTTTTGGCCTTGATGTTGCTGGTAATTGTCATCAGTCTCAGACCCAACTCCTTGGACATTTGCTGCTGAACCTGTATTTCTCCCCTTTGTGAACTTAAAATCTGCTGGGAATCCATGCAACCTGTAACATTTCTCCCTAATGTGCCCTGACTTTTTGTAATAGTCACAAAACAGATGAGAAAGTTTGTTTGTGTGCGACTTATGTGATGATTGATTGGCTCTGTATGCATTACTTCCACTCGTACCAGCATTTGTTTGTTGAGCATTGGTGTAATAGCCTTTTGAATTGTTAGCATTGGTGTGTTGAGTGTAGTTTGTCCTAAAATTATTTTTTCCAGTATTGTATACACCAACATTTAGAGATGAGGACTCCATGAGAGAATGATTTGGAGGTCGGACTTCTCTCTGCTTTTCTTCCTGAATAAGAATGGAGAAACCTTGTGCTATAGATGGTAGAGGGTTCATCATTAAGATATTCCCCCTCACCACAGTGTAGATCTCGTTAATCCCCATCAGAAATTGAATCAACTGTTTGTCTTGTTCAGTTTTGTGCACATTTGTCTTTGCTCCACATGTGCAGGCACAACTGCATAAAACACTCACATCCAATGTATTTAGCTCTTCCCACAACCGCTTCAATTTTGTATAGTATCCGGTGATGTCAAGTGTTCCCTGAGTTAGATCAGTGATCTCCCTTTGGAGTTGATAGCGCTTCGCACCATTCGGTTGATCGTATCTATCCTCCAGCTCTTGCAATAGTTCCTTTGCAGTGTTGACGTATTGAAGGCTATCTGCGACGTCCTTGGAAAGTGAATTCAGAATCCACGAAGTGACCATGTCGTCACATCTCTCCCATTGCCCGTAGGTTGGATCAGTTGCAGCAGGCTTGACGCATTTCCCATTGATGAATCCCATTTTATTTTTCACCGAGATACCCCGTAGAATTCCTCTCCTCCAAAATCTATATCTAGTACCATCAAAAATGACCGGCACAAGTGTAGATCCAGCACTTTCAGCTGGATGCAAGTAGATTGGGTTAGTTCCTGTATGATCGACTTGAGTTCCTGTATCAATTTGAGTTTCAGTGGAAACCATGATTGATGAATGAAAAAAAATGATCGAGTGGATTCGTAATGGAGACTGAGATTTATGTGAAGTAAGCTTGAGAGAGAAGCACACTGTGCTCTGATACCATGTCGAAAACAGAGTTATCAAGCTTACTGAACCTCCATCAATGGAGGTGAGATGAATTCTGTATACTGCAATTGAGCAGAGAGATGAATTGAAGAAGATTAATTGGGGAAAAGAAAAGTATCTTATTCCAAGTACTGTCATCCATATATATACATGTATGAACATTTAAGCAAAATATCTAATCTACACGATTCAATCCTAACTGACTCAACTAACTCTGTATACAACAATAATTAATTGGGTCCACCAATCTGATTCTCTAACTAACTGAAACAGTGCTAACTAACTGAAAGATGTATCATCTCAACAGAAACCTTCAAACAGTCTACTGAACAAGCTGACTTCTTTCCCTCACCTTCTCAACTTCTTCTTCTATTTCCTCGACTTCTTTTATGATTGTCCTCTCTCCTTCTTCCACTTTCTTCTCCAAACTCTCAACAAGGGGTGGTTCAGGGCCACAAGTATTGTATGTTTTTATGAACGTGTTGAAATCACGACCAACTTTTTAGGCTGCAGTTTGCAACTCAGGTAAATATAATGCTTTCAGGCAAAACTGAGCTTCTTGTATAAAGTACAGAACTGCCATATCCATCCCATGCATCATTTCTGCCCTTATAGTACACACATATGTAGTCATCTGGACTGTTTTCTACTTTGGATGACAAAATATACCTGCAGAGAAAATCGATTAACGTGTTTAGGTGAATCGCAATGCAAGTACAAACAATATGGAGATACGATATCAAAGAGGTAGGAAGGGAAGTACCAGTCATCTTGGTAGTGAAGATACTTTGGATATTGCACGAAGTTTTGCACTGCTGATTGAGTGAAAAATCCTCCATCAAGTGTCCCTATTCTCCAAGTAAGATTTCCCACAAGTTTGTTTCCTTATGTATGGAACTTATGCAATTGACAATCAAAAACATCAAATGTGGGATTTAAGCTGCGAGTGATGTACCATTTTCCACTAAAATCATTCATGTCAAACTTTTGGACGGGAACACTTGGATCAGGTACAGGAAAGTCACCAACATCAGATTTACGAGGTACACATTTTTTCCGGGAGACTGCACACTCATTGAACTCACCTACAACAGTGTTTTCAAACAAATCACCACATTTTATCTGCACCTATATTCCATAAATGTGATCAAATCAATATTCAGTTTTAATAAGATGTTTGTAGACGTACACCTGACATTCCGTTTCATCAGGTCTATTGTTGCAAGTCTGGAGACAAGCAACATTAGCTGTACATGCAGGGTTTGC